TAATAGTATCTAAAGGTTTACAAGCGCTAGTCAGAGACGATTCAACGGAAGACGACAGTAATTAGAATAAATGAATGGGAAGATGATTGATTTGTGAATTGGCAGGTCGTTGACCTGTCATGTCCGGTCCAAGCGAGACCAAGACGCGCGATACAGACATATTATAATACATACGACTATTTATAATAGCCAGGGGAGAGTGTAGGTGGGCGCGTCTTTGCGTTTGCACCGATAAGAACTCGCCGTCACGCCACGAACATCTGGGCCATACCTCGCATTGTTTCACTTACAACTACTTAAGAACAGAGAATTATTATTCTTGTCAAGCTAGGTCTACCTAAGAAAAGATCTATGCGTTATCAACATTCCAATTGCACTTAAAATCACATCTCAATGATAAATCACACAAACTGTTTTTGATTCTGTTTATGTTGCATATGTTACAGTACCTACTCGCAATATCTTCTTTCACTCATTTGAATTACAATTAAGTAGGTGCTCAACGTGGGTGTTCATAAGATACCTACAACCTACATAAGTAACAGCCGCGTATTACTCAACAGTAACCTTTGTTATTTTTTGTAACATATGGTTCACTTATTCGAGAGTCAGCAAAAAGAGAACGAATATTGTTGCCAATGTTTATGATACCAGACTGTTGAATCATGATCATTATTTGTAACCGACAGAGCGAATAAGACTTTACTAAATAACAATTTATAGATTGAAAAAAAATTTACTTAGTTTAAAAAAAACCAGAATAATTGTAAACTTCAGTAAATAATTGTCAATACTTTTAGGTCATAGGCACTCTAATTGTTCCAAGACTTTCAGAGTTGACCATTGTGTTTCTAGTCTGCGATATTAAACTGTCAACACCAAGCGGTCACCGGTGACCGCAACCTTTTGTTCTATAATTGTGTCTGCAAAACCGGTACTCGACGAGTTAAACTAGAGTAGGTAGAGGTAAGGAATTATGGTTATACAGATTGCAATAAGCTGATCTTACATCTTACTGTGGCCACTTCTCTCTTATCCTAATGGTACTTAGGTGGAAGCCACGAAAGGTTTATTCCTCACAAATGGCTACTGTCGAAAAACAAAAGTCAACCGATAGTCATATACCCTAACGAAACTTGGAAGTGCTTTCGAGTCGATGGTTATTCATCATTTATAAGGCCTGATTGGTCAAACTACTGTTCGTTCTATGCGTATCAGGCTCAGTACATTAGCACCTAAAACCACGTGGAATTGTTAGTGTCAAGTTACATAACATAAACCACAATGTATGAGAATGTAGGTGGCATGCCATGGCGGTTACGGTGCCATGATGGCAGTGGCAACCGCCAAAGTTTTTATTAGCACATTGAACGGAAGTCGTGCGTGATGCCATTACTACACAAACGTGCTATATATATTTTTTAATCAATCGACATAAATGTGGCAGCCCTGTAAACCTAACACGTGTTTTACAAACTCTAAACTGTAATTTTCGAAATGTGTTCCGACATTTTTGTTTATTGGTTAATGGTAGACTAGATGGAGCACAAAGAGTATGTACCATTCAAGTACGACTCCTCTCAAATTGAGATGGACATAGATGACCTCACAGACTCGTCAGACCCAATTTAGATATACATATATTTCTGTTTACGGCATGTATGGCTGAGGAGTGGAGTGGAACGGCATCGGCATTAGCATAATTGGAGGTCGGCAGCCGCAGCTACGGAACCGGTTGGACCGTGGTACGAATATGACGTCATCCCTGACATCACCACCTGCCAATTCCATAAAAATAATGAAAATTAAAACTGTTAAAAGGACATATTTTTTACTTTAACTTCTTTATAAAACTATTAGACATTAAATGAGTCGTGTATAATATACCTAATCTCATTAATTAACTGTCTAACTGAATTATTTAGAAAACCTCTATTTGAGGGAAATTGTTAATAGAATTAGCAGACTATTATCACATATATGCCAACTATATTTGATTTATCACCTAATTACAAAGACGACTGAAAAGAAAGTCTGAATTATTCGTGAGATCGGTTTATTTTTAGAAAAGTAACGACTTCTCACTTAATTAACTAACGAGACACGAAGACAGTTACTTCTTTAATTACATATTTATAGCCATTCATGACTGTTGTGTGAATAAGTGTAGTCTGTAGTCACTGAAGGAAAACGTTCCTATATTGGTAATTAAACTGTCAAACACCAAGCGGTCACCGGTGACCGCAACCTATTGTTCTATAATTGTGTCTATGATGACGGTACTCGACGAGTTAAGTAACTTAATATCAATGTAAAACACGTGCTAGGTGCGGCTTTCCACCTAGTTTTTATTAATTAAACTGTCATCAACAGCTAACAGAAAATCTGGTATCTAGGTCGGCACACCCATGGCCCAACAGTGGTCATGCCCAACCCAACCCCACAAAAGTGAGCCACCCACCCCGCAACAGACAATTTTATACACCGGTACATTACGTATATTATAATCGTTTTATGGGTACTTTTTGGTCTTTAGCTAATTGCAAAACTTATAAATATAATATATTATAATGTCTATGTTTACAATGCCGAGTTCTTATGCAATTCAAATTAAGTTTACGTCTATACTTATGTAAAGTATAAAAGCTCATTTAGCTCATATATTATTAATAGTAAGGTATGTTGATAATCTACTTCAGACGACCATGCACTAAAAATTCCGTAGGTATTTAGAAGATACTTCACGCAATAGATTTTCTTCTGATTCGTAACAGACGTACTAACTAATAAGTATAAGGTATAAAACTGTTTGATTTTTTGCATCTACCTATTAAAAAGGTAAATTGGAGTAATCATACACGACCTAATTAAATAGTAATAATTGCCCTTCCCTGCTATACACCTCACCCGTTGAGAGTTTGGGACTTGTTATTCCATTCAGCCATGCAATAACTTAATCCATTGCTTAAACTCGAACATAATAACGTAGATGTGTGATAAAAACTTTATGTACTTCAACAATTTGTAATAATTTCCAGAATAATGCGTATTTAATTATTATGAGAACATGTGAAATAGGATCAAGAATAGATAAATTATAATCCCATCAATTCTAAAACGTTGCTAGAGCGCGTAGTAAAATCAGTCATAAATAAACAGGACATGAAGAGAGGGTATTAACTTTAACTTACAGAAAATATATGGATAATTTGAATTCTTATCTGTATGGTATGTTAGTACAAATAAGAAGCATAAGTTATTATCGATAGTACAGATACTGTAGAGCTGTGGGACTGCGATTTCCCTTTACGAAGGAGTTATGTCGAGAGAAGAGGAGGGAGGCTACGACTTAGGCAAATGAGACCATATTAACCCTTCCGTAACAGACGGGCGTACATATTGCTACAAGCAAAAGTCTTTATTATATGGCGATAAGATGGAGCAACCTGCAAATGATAACATCTTTGAAATGAAAAAAGAAGAGAATCTAGTTCTGTCCTATAGTTATAGTTACAAAAAAGACTATCTAATGTTTAAAACTGGTCACACAAGACGGGATCTCAAAGCTCTACTAATCTCAGCGTCAGTCGGTTGATAAAAAAGTTACAAATCTTATTTATACATAATCAGGTTAATGCCTTGTCTGTTTGCTGGTTTAGACAACATCCAAAATATTTAATTTATGTAGACGCACATAAAGCGAGTGACTAACAGCCAACTGGAACATTTTGCTGTTAAAAATAATAAGTAAGTAAGTAGATTGATACCTATGTACACTACATCCACGGTTTATATGTATCTGTATAATTGTACCTATATATAGAGGTATATATCACAGTATGTTACAAAACCTGTTTGTGTTTTATTATCCTTCGTTTCCTCCGTCTAGATTTTAAAGCGGTTTAGGACATTGAAACATCCTACATATGTTTTTAGTTTCCTTCTGATACCTGCATTATAATTGCCATCTGTCTGTGGCTTGTGAGTTGTGACAACTGCATTGTATTTATACTTAATTTATTATTATTTAACTCTTTGTTATTTCCCTCCGTTTTATTTTCAAGGCAGAGGTTGATATTGAGGTGCGACTTAGCGACTTTTGGTTGTAGAGGACCGTAGTTTTCCCTATCTGAGACTTCGTGAATAAGAAAACGTGGTTGCATTTACTTATGTATGTATGTGCGAGTATAAAAATAATCATGAGTATAAAAATAATCATCTTGATGCAAAAATACTACTTACAATGGTAGACCAAGTTCTCAGCCTCCATGCTTGCTTGTTGCGCAAAAGTGCAGACTCAACTTCTAAACAATATAGGTACAAGTTTATCTTCAGAATGCCTATCTGCCTGTTTCTGACTGTTCTCAGCAATTACAGAATGAGTTAGAAGAAAATACACTACCTATTTCATTGTATGTATATTCCTAGGCCTACACAAACTATATATTTCTTGCATAGAAGTTTTTAGGTACTGTTCCTACAACTCTGCCTGTTGTAAGAAAGAACTTATCTTGAGGAATACAGAGCATTTTGTTTCTTTATATATAAAAACTTTAATAGTATAAAAAAGAAACTTATATAAAAATATGTGTTACGATAAATGCTTAGTTAAAATGTTCAGAAAATAAAACAGTGAAGAACTTCGAGCGACAATTTACCTACCAGTTGCTGGGTCATCAATAGTCATCATGTTAAAGTATGGATAGATTGGGTAGGTTCAGCATTCATGCTTTACTTCAGTTCGAATTAAGCACTTAGGTACAGTCTCTGAGATATAGTACAACATCCTACCATTGAATAACATGACATGTGTTAAAATGTCTACCGGTTTGTTACCCATTAAAACTTACCTAGTGTAAAAGTTGTAACTTAAAATATTTTTTACATTAACAAGCTGTGAAACTATACAACTTCTAGATATAGGTAATAGGTAATATAATAAACTTTAAATTAATACCGAATATATAGGTAGGTATAACTACTTATACTTTACTACTTACATGAAAACAAAATATACATTTACCTACCTCACAATAAGAACGATAGGTAGATAAGTGTTTTTAAATAATCCAACTTTCATTCACTGAACTACACTTTTATTTATAAATTCGCAACATTCGTATCACACACTCAGCACACTAATTCAACGTCCAATGTGTAGGAGAATCCAGTTATACCTAACTTCGCTAAAGTATTGTTCGCGCATACCGTTCGGTCGCATACAGAGAAGAAGCGCGGCCAGTCGGTGGCGGGTCAAACGCGCACTAAACTACGAGCGAACTCCATCCAATATGAGCAGAATGAAAATTGGAAATAATGCTACGCCGCCTCTACAATCTGGTTGGCCAATGCCAATGGTAACCAACGTTATAACAAAACACAAGCAATCATTGCTTCACTAGTATGGGAGTTGATTAATAAGACAGTTAAGAACACGGCAATGGACTAAATTCATCCGCCAATATGCTGTGGCAGCATTTCACTACGCGACACGCTTGGGTGCCCTACATCGGTACGTGCGATTCTCCGGCTGTTTATATATTTTTAAAATAAATAACGCTATTCTAAGTACCTACATAACAAATTCCCACGGCACCTTTTACCAGTCTTAGTAAATTAAAACATATAAGC